AAACCTTAAACCTAAAAACCCTAAAACCCTTAAACCCTCCACCCAAGACCTTGAAAGTTTAATCCTAGAATATCAACCCTACGGCTTTACGGCCTTGAACCATCCCCTAAAGCTTAAAGCCTAAACCTTATACCCTAAACCATAAACCCGAAACCCTAGACCCTAAACTTTAAACCCTAAATGTTAAACCTTAACGTTCAAACCTTAAACCCTAAACTTTAAATCCTAAACTTTAAACCCTAAACTTTAAATCCTAAACTTAAAACCCTAAACTTTTAATCCTAAACTTTAAACCCCAAACCCCAAACCCTAAACCCAATCATTTCTAGGCTACGCTGAACTTGGTGGCGCTCATCTCGAGGTTAGGTTCTTGGGTCTAGGATTTATAGGGTTTAGGGTTGTGGGGTTTAGGGTTTAGGGTTTAGGGTTTATGGTTTAGGGGTTTAGGGTTGTGTGGTTTAGTGTTTAAGGGTTTAGGTTAGGTTCTTGGGTTTAGGATTTGAGCGCCCGGGCGGGCAAGTTGGGCTGGTACTTGAGACCCACTGCAAAAAGGGTTGTGAGGTTTAGGGCTTAGGGGTTGGGGTTTAGGGGTTTAGGGTTGTGGGGTTTAGGGGTTTAGGCTTGTGGGGTTTAGGGGTTTAGGGTGTAGGGTTGTGGCGTTTAGTGTTTAGGGCGTTGATGTTTAGGGTGTTTAGGGTGCCTGGGGTCTTTTTTAAGGTTTGGGGTTGAGCGCTTAGGGCTAGGGTTTAGGGTTTCCTCCTATGTCATTACCATACAGCCTACATCTGGGGAAGATGTTCTTAGTGATGTGTCTTTCTGGGTTCTCATTGAGCCCTCCCAAACCCTCACCGGCGTCCTTTACATTCTGCAAACCTGATGCAAACCCTCCAGCCTACGGCCCTAAAGCCCGAATCAGGCCACAGGCATCCGAGACCATAGAAGATAGCTTTTGCTGACCAGAATGTAAGCGCATGTGATTAGACGTGACGTATCGGGTAAAGGTTTTGCAGATGTCAATACATGACGTGCATTTGGGGTAGGGCTTTCCCACTTGTCTGGACCACATGTCAGCGGCCAAGCTAGTGTTTGACCATCAGCCCCGATTAGCTGCAACACCAAGCCCCAGAAAAGTCCATGGTTTAGGGTGTAGGGTATGAGTCCAACAAATCGTAGCCCCTAAAATAAGAATCCACTCATGCTACAGGGACCTGCGTGACTGATGGTTTTTTTTGAGTGGGTCTATGCCTTACATAGGGGTCCAGGTTCTACATGGTTCTACTAGATCTTTTCTCTTTCTCTTCGAAGTACTTCACCCTATCCCTATATGAGCCCTGTACATGTAGTCGTGCGGGCGGGCATTCCCTTCGTACTTTGGTTGAGCTTGGGTCTTGGGATATACCCTGTGGACAAGCATAAAGAATTCGAAGAAAACTTTGGGAATTATGGAGATTAGGCAGACAGATTCTAGAAGTTTTCGAGAAGGAGTTCAAAACATGCAAAGAATGACCACATCTGGCCCAAACCCAGGTTCTCGAACCCAGAACCTTGGGTTTGGGCCAGATGTTGTCATTTTTGGTTGTTTTGGGAGGGGTTTACACCAAAAGGGACCACACATCTACTACTACCATAACACAACATGTGGTGTGATGAGGGCTAGAGCCTGGGATGCCATTTGCGGGGAGGGGAGGAGGGTGCAAACACACATCCCTGACCCTAATGGTGCAAAGCTTTGACAACCCTCCCCACTCAGGTTAGCACGGGCGAGTAGATGATAACAAGGGCTTTACGGTTACCCCAAACCCTGAAATCAGGACCCTGGTATAGCCATATGAACATATGTGGTTCTAGGATCCTGATTATTGGGGTAGCTATATTCCTGTTGTGTTAGATGCAGCGCTCAGGGTTTAGGGTTTGTAGATAAAGTAATAACCCAAAGCCCGTGAAGAAGGCATTGCTCTACATGCTCTTGGGATTCAGGCCCCTAAACCCCTAAACCCACAAACCCTAAACCCTAAACCCCAAACCCTAAACCCTAAACCCCTAAACCCCAAACCCTAAACCCCAAACCCTAAGCCTTAAACCCCAAACCCTAACTACTGCAGGCCGACTCTTGCCTTGGGCACCGCATCCTCCGCAGTGGTTGGCAAGGCCATCGGCGCCCACCTTCTAGCGAAAGCAGAGCAGGAACTGGTGTCGCAAACTTAGGATTTCGGGTTCAGGGTTTAGGGTTTGGATGCCTTCAAACTTAACGTTTAAGGTGTCTCAGGCTCAGGGTTTAGGGTTTAGGTGTCTCAAACTTAGGGTTTAGGGTTTAGGTGTCTCGAACTTTGGATTTAGGGTTTAGGTTTCTCGCACTTAGGATTTAGGGTTTAGGTTTCTCACGCTTAGTGTTTAGGGCTTACTTGTCTCAAACTTAGGGTTTAGGGTTCAGGTGTCTCAAACTGAGGGTTCAGGGTTTAGGTGAAACTTAGGGTTTAAGGTTGTATTTGTTTCAAACTTAGGGTTTAGGGTTCAGGTGTCTCAAACTGAGGGTTCAGGGTTTAGGTGAAACTTAGGGTTTAAGGCTTTATTTGTTTCAAACTTAGGGTTTAGGGTTTATGTGTCTCAAAGTTAGGGTTTTAGGGCTCAGGGGTTTGCGAGCTTGGGGTTGTAGGGCTAAGGGCTAAGGGTTTGAAAGCATGGGTCGGGTCCAAACGTAGCGTAGATCTGAATCCTGACTTCAACGCATGTATTTTTTTTGCAGGAAATGGATTCGGGTTGGATGTGTACGAGTTTGAGGGGTAGGGTTGTGGCCAGCTAAGGCTGTTAGAATGTCATATTGTGGGCTTGGGGCCTTCCGTTCAGGATTTATAGGGTCTAGGAATCGACGTTGAAGTAGGTTTATAAGATTGAGAACTTTTGTTTGTTTCAGTATTTTGGGAGTTTGGGGCTTTCTTTCATAGCATGTAGAATCTAGAAGAAAAAGTGCGTGTCATGCAGATATCCTGCAGTATCCGAAAGGGAACACTTTCTTCTCGGCAACAATCCAGGTCTCCTGGCTCTGCGTCGGCTTGAATGTTCTGGTGTGGGCCTTCGAAGTCCTGGCGCTTGTCCCTTTGAGCAAATTTGTGGCCATGCTGTTGACATCTGACCAGGATGTTCAAGCGCTTGTGCACAAGCTGCTGAACATCTATCTGATCGTTTTTCGGGCTTCCTTCAAGCAATGTTTAGTTTCTGCTTACTCAAGTTAAGTGGTAGTTTCCCTAAATCCGGGGACCCCAATATAGACCCCAATCCGTTTTATAGCGAACCCCCAAAAAGTACCCTTAATTTTGAGAAACCCCTGAGTAGCTTCTGCACTATCATGCTTAAGCTCCAAACCGTACATCCCCAATATGAGCTATAGTCTAAAGTCCTTGAAGGGTGTAATATAGGGGATGTTAGCCCCCTTTATTTAGGGTGTAGGGTTTGGGGTGTTTGGGGTCTAAACTCCATAAAGGGGGGTAGTATAGGGGATTACATAGGGGAGTTATAAGGTTTTTTTATGGACAATACCTCATATGAGGATTTAGCTCGTCCAGGTATTTGGCTGGTTCGACAACACGCAGAACGTCATGAGCGCTACTTTGCGTGGCCTTGGACTTCAACGCGCAGCTGCCACGGTTTCTCTTGTCAGTTTCTACCTCATTGCGCTCCCATTTGGTTGTGCTTTTGTGTGGCTGGTCAATATGGGCGTCATGGGTATGTGGTACTCTCTCGCCATTGGAACGGGCACTGCTGTGGTGGCTCTCACAGTGATCTTATGCAAGGTCGATTATGTGCAACGTGCCAAAGAGTCTGATGAGAGGATACAGGCGAACGCGATCAAGCAAGCGAGAACACTCAACCTTGAAAGTAATGTAAGGGCCTGAAAGCTGAAATAAGGGTTTCGCAATACAGCATGTTATAGTCATACAAGAACTATCAGGAAATGATGTTGGAATACATTTCTTCGTGCACTAGAGAGGTCAGTCTGGCACTGCGCCATATGAGCTATAGTCTAAACTCCAAGTATCCCCCTTAATAGCCCCTAAAGTAGTTCCCTGTATAATCCCCTATATAACCCCTTTTAACAAGGTTAGGCTATGGCTCATATGTAGCTGAGGCTGCCGTTTCTTTTCCATGTACAGTGTACAGTGTCTTTCCCAGCAGTGGAGTCCACAGGGTCCAATGTGAAAAACAACTTGGAAGGGGGCGTTCAATGTCCACGGGTTGGGTTTTAGCACAAGTCAAAGCAACTTGCATGAAAGAGTTTAGAGTTTATAGTGCGTATCCAAATTCAAGTCGAATATCCGAATGGTCACATGAGGTTCGGCGCTCGCCCTCGTGGAGTTGCGTTGGTTGTGGCCCTTTGGGAGGCGTCCCCAAGAAATATATTCTGCAAATGCAGTTCCTTCGAAATGGTTTAGGAAACCCCATAGAGCTACCTAACTGCAATCCACCTCTGAGTCGGAGGAGCCTGAGCCCCGACCTTGCGCGGCCTTCATCACGAGTATGGAACCCTGAATTACCCAAATGAGCTATAGTCTAAGGTCCCTTAAAGGTGGTAACTTGAGGGATTGTGTAGGGGAGTATAGTAGGGCTTATTAAGGGGTATAGTGGGATAGTGGGAATTTAGATTATAGCTCAAATGAGCAATGGATTCCTGATTCCCAACATCGAGATTCCAGTTTCAGGAAGTCTTCTTCAAGCATCACAGCCCCACGAAGAGTCTGACTTGCACGAGCGCGTTGCAAGCGCGCGCTGCAAAAGCGGCTCAGAATGCCTGGCGTAGATTGCAGTCCGCAAACCGACAGATATATTCAAGTTAACCAGCTTATATACCTGACTATACAGAATAGATAAATTCGTGATACATTATATACATATGCATAATGGGGTCTTATCAAATATGATGATTTCTTGAAATACGAAATTGACAAGGTTGAATTGATCAAGATGATTTAAGGAAATCTTCAAGATAAGAAATCAATGAGGTCATTAGGAATCATGCAGAGATATGAAAATGTTAAGAAAGAAGATTCGATAGAATATCATCATTTATTCTATCTATATATAAATATATTCTAGATAATAGAAAATATGATATAGAAAGAAATCAGAAATATTAGACATGATCAGATCCATTATCAGATATTGAAGAAGCTTGATAGATCTCGATATTTCAAAGCTCAAGAATCGAAAAAATATTGAGCCTCTTTGATCTAGAATTTATATAGATTATCTAGATTGAGATCGTCGAAGATCGATATATTCTCTTTTTCTCATGATTTTATTTTAATACGATGATTTTTCTGAAAAGGAATATGATAGATTAGATTTCAGATTTTCAAAATTAGAAATTCAATAAGATATGGAATTTTAGATTTTGGAGGTCAAAAATTATATTAAATATAAAATCTCGAAAAATTTGAATTATCGGCTCGACAAGAAGGAATTCTCAATATTGACGATTAAGAAAAATATATTCATATATGATTCTCTCTCTCTCTCTCTCAAGATCTACATTTGATTTAATTTAATTTCATGAATATTTCATATACTATCTTCGTGAAATAATGGCGATGAATGCTATTATATTTTTGAATGAAATTGATTATATGTTCGATTTAAAATTTTCAAATTGATAATGATATAGATTTTGGAAAATTAAATTTTTCAATAATTTCATATAGGATAGAATTCTTTTGAAAATGATAATTCTAGGAATAAAAGATTTTTCTTTTGATTTTTAATTCAAATTTATAAGGTAATCATATAGAAGAAAATTGATTAAAAAATGAAAGAGAAAATTTAGGAATGAAGGATTTTCTTCAATTCTTAATTGAATATTATAAGGAATTCATATAGAGGAAAATCTTTGTGATTATGAGAATTTTAAGAATGAAGGATTTCTATTTAATTTCTAATTGAATTTTAAAAGGAATTCATATAGAGGAAAATCTATATGAAAATGAGAAAATTTTGGAAATGAAAGATTTCTTTATTATTTCTAATTAGAATTTAAAAAGGAATTATCTAGGAAATTATTCGTAATCGCTCTATTTTAGGGATAATATAATAATTTTGTATCTTTTTATTATAAGTATTATATATTAAATTAGGGATAGAAAATCATTTTGAACTTTCTATTCTGGATTATAAAAATATCGTAATACGTCTAATTTTTTGATTTTTCATTGAAAATAATATAATATTTTCAAAAAATAAAAAATCTATAGAGTATAAATCTTCAAGATTATTGGAGAATAGATTTTTGAGATCTTTCGATATCAGTCATGGAATTGACATTAAGTCAATCTTCGTATCCGCCATTTAGAAGATACGCAGGAGAAAGAAAATAAGGCAAACTCATGTATTATCGTAGAAGAAGAAAGGACGCACGTCGTCAGGTCCCCAGACCATGCATTAAAGCCCGCCACCACCCGCCGAACGTCCAGG